TCACAGTAAGGCTATCAAAATGGAAAACGAAATCAAAAAGGAATCAGTGGAAACGAAGCCATTGCTAAATGGCGATGTGATCAAACAATTGAAGACACGCGACGAGGTCACGCGACAGTTGAGCTTCAGCTCAGATGGTAGCAAGCCCAAGGAGAACAATTGCAACAGCAGCAACAGTAATTCAGCTTCATCACTTTTAATGCCATCGCCGGCTCCAAAAACTACCAACAGCAGCAACAGTGGCAGCAGCAGCAGCAGCAGCGCCAATCATCATTCCTCCTCAAACTGTAGCGCGCGTAAATCATCGTCCTCGTCGTCCAGTAATTCGACGAGTAGTCATCACAAGACTTCATCTTCGTCGTCCTCCTCCTCGTCATCATCACGGCATTCGTCATCCTTCTCGTCGCGGGATTGCTCCAAATGTTACAAACGCTCCAAGATCCGTCGCAGCAGCGTCGGCGTTCAATGCATTCAGCACGCGCCCGCTGCTGGCCCCTGGCAAACGAATTGCTTGCCTACGCCGACGGGCAACCGCAAAGCGCCCGCCGGCCTTGAAAATCTCAAATATGGTAATTACTTTCAAGTGGAACAGTATCCGAACGGCGGTGCATCGGTAGTGCATCTCTATCAGCACGAAATCGATGCACTATCGCCGGATGAAATGGAACAGCTGGTGGATGAGTTCTTTAGCGTATGCTTTGCCGAAGACGAGCAGGGCTACGCGCATCATGTGATGGGCATTGTACACGATGCCGCGCGCTATATACCCGATCTACTGGAGCATATGGCCGAGAATTATTCAACGTTAACGGTAAAGGCGGGCGTGCTTGGCCGCAACTCGGACATTGAGACGTGCACCATGGCCCAGTACAATGAGCAGGTGAGTGTGACACTGGCCAGCAGCTAATCGAATTATTTATTATCAATCGCATTTTATTGCAGGTGGTGCGCAACTATTGCCAGGGCACGTTTCGCTATGGACCCCTGCATCAGATCTCATTAGTGGGCAAGGTGCACGAGGAGGTGGGCGGCTACTTTCCGGATCTGCTGGGACGCATCGAACAGAATCCATTTCTGCGCAAGGTAAATACTAAATAAATGGTTAACTGACGTACATCCATTCATGAATGTATTTCATATTTCAGACAATGCCCTGGGGTGTGAATTCCATACTCCAAACGGATCCGCGTCAGTCAAACGATGGACCCATTTTATGGATTCGTGCGGGCGAGCAACTTGTGCCCACGGCGGAGCTGAATAGTAAGACGCCCCTAAAGCGACAGCGGTAAGCTTTTACATTTGCTTCTATACATACACTTATGTGTTTATTTCATTCATCAACTAACCCAACTAAAACCTGAAATTATTTTCTTCAACATCTAAATTGCATTTCTTTGCATAATTATATTTATTTGTTTATTTCATTCAGTAACATTAACATCAAAATTTGTTTAACAAAATACCACTCATGTTTCCCTTCATTTGTAACTATACATATGCTATTATACAATAAATACTACTATATTTAACAAAAAATTGGCATTTTAGTTTTAATTCATTTATAGCTTATGCAAGTACATTTATTTACATTTTAGTATTGTTACGTTTCTATATTCATGTTTATTACTAAAAACAATTCCATCTTAGCGATACTTTGCTAGATTTCTCTTAGCTCATAATTGATAATTAATATTGCAATTTCTTCATGCAGCACGCGAATTAATGAGCTGCGCAATCTGCAGTATCTGCCGCGCTTATCGGAGGCACGCGAGACCATGATTGAGGACCGAACTAAGGCGCACGCGGATCATGTCGGCCACGGACACGAGCGCATCACTACCGCCGCAGTTGGTGAGCTATATATAAATCACTGTTTTTCTCCACAACCCTTTTTTCCCTTTCTCTACTTCAACAATTCTAATTGAATCTGAATTCCCGATTCGATTTCAGGTATTCTCAAGGCTGTGCACTGTGGACAATCATATAGCCAGAATCGCATCACCAAAGATGTGGTTGCCTTTGCCGCTCAGGACTTTAATACGCTGGTGGAGATGCTGCAGCTGGATCTCCACGAGCCACCCATATCGCAGTGTGTGCAATGGATCGAGGATGCCAAATTGAATCAGCTACGTCGAGATGGCATCCGCTATGCGCGCATCCAGCTCTGTGACAATGATATCTACTTTCTGCCACGCAACATTATACACCAGTTCCGCACCGTGACGGCTGTGACAAGCATAGGTAAATCATCCTTAACTATTTCATTAATGCAATTTAATTAATTCACTCTTCTATCGTAGCTTGGCATCTGCGATTGCGACAGTATTATCCCGGCCAGGAGGTAATCAATGAGAAGAACAATCCAGTGCTGGCCGAGACGCCGCATTATAAGGAGAAACAAACGATATTGCCCCATCCCATTGGCCACGATGAGCCTGGCAAGAAGACGCCCTCGAAGCGTACTCACGATGGCAAAGCCAAGCGTAAGGTGATTGATTTGGATGGCAGAGATCGCCGTTCAAGCGAAAGCAGCCAAGATGATCATGTCTCGTCGGCGAGTGCCTCGCCCACGCGTCAGACCAACAACAACAACAATAACAGTAGCAGCAGCAACAGCAACAACAACAGCACCCCCAAAAAGAGGGCGAACAAGGATGACTCCAAGATAGATATGCGCAAAATGGTGCTGGAGCACACATACAAGCAGACCAAAGCGGCAGCCACGGCACTCGATAAGGATCGTAAGCCTTGCAGCAAGGATCGGGAGAAGTCTAATCGTGATAAAGACAAAGACAAAGACAAGGATAAAGATAAAGATAAGGATAAGGACAAGGATAAGGATAAGGATAAGGCGCGCAACAAAAAGATGGAGCATAAACCAGAGCTGGCATCGCCTTCAGCTACGCCAGCTAAACAGCCGCGTCTAGAAAAAGAGACGGCCGTATCAATAGTTGCAAGCGGTGCGTCCGTTACCACTCCCAGTCCAGCTCCCCCAGTTCCCCCAGTTCATGCTCCCCCAACGCTGACGCCAGCCTTGCTGCCGCCGTTGCCTCTTGTGCCTCCGACGCCGTTCACTCACCGCGAAGCCTATGTAAATAGTTTGAATCAAAAAGAGCCCGAAATCAAAATACAGCTTAAAATGGTATCCGATGAGCCCACCACAACGACAACGACGAGCATCAGCAAACCTGAAATCACCAACTGCGTGAGGCCAGCCTCGCCGGTGCCCAACCCGGTCGAAGATGTGGGCAGTGAGCTCATTGTGGAGAGCACGCCACAACTGGTGGTGGATCACGAAGAGGAGGTGACGGAGATGTGTGAAGAAGTAATTCCATTGAATATGCCAGCAGTGCCAGCTCCAACAGTCACACCTGCTCCTACACTAACACCTACACCGACACCTGCGGCCGCACCTCTGCCGCCGTCCACACTACCAGTTGTGCGTCTAACGCAGCCACCAGTGCCCACGACCTCAACCGGAGCAGCGCCATCCCAAGTTGTTAAGGTGGTGCTGCCCGCTGCATCGCTGACGCCGCTAGTAGGTCGCCTATCGACGGTGGTTTTAACACCACCTCTGCCTCCCACGCCGTTGCCACCACCTCCGCCGCCGCCACCACCACCAGCCAGAAGCCAAATCAGCCAGAAGGCAACAACTGCTATCAGTAACAACAGCAGTGTCAGCACAACCTCCAACACCACCCCCAGCAGCACCACCACCTACAAAACGTTCACCTTGCCCTCGCACAAGATCATATTGGCCGGCAGCAGAGGTTCAGCCAAGACCAAAAGCGTGTCGCCAGTTGATCTGCTTGGCTCCATAATGGCCAGCATGGACAATAAGCCCAGTATCACGAACTCCACAAGCTCAAGCAGCGGCTCCACAGCAGCAGCAGTGGCGGCTGCATCCGCGGCAGGCGCCCCAGCTGCCGCCAGTAGCACGGCAGGCACTGCGAAGCCTTCACTATCTTCCTATGCCAATTCCAATAACAGCTACTGAGATTGCGTTGCCTGTTGCCCAGAGGCTTCTCCAGGCGATGTGTTCCCTAGCATCGCCAATTTAATTATTGCAGCTATATAACGAAGAGGAGATATTGTTGGAAATTGTTTTTTTTTTTTAATTGTTTGGATTAGGCCACGTTTTTGGCGTCTAACGCAAGCGCGAGCTTTAAAAGTTGGCCCGAATATCGTTTTTTGTATATAGCAAAGCTGGGGCTAAGGTTTGTTCGTATAAGCCGAACATCAACTTGCCCGCACATATTATTATATTTGGTAACTGTAGTTAATTAAGCTCAAAAAATGCTAAACATACTTTTTAGACACGTAGATTTTTAATTTATTATCGCAGGCACTATAAGGTACACACACATTGGCAACAGTTAGAGAAAAACTTGATATACATATATATAAGTGAATAAGCAGATACACATATATATCTATATATCTTATATATATATACAGATTTGTATATTAGCATAGAATGCGCGCACATTGGCCGGGTATTTTTACAAGTCAAACTAAAGTGCAAAATGCGCCCAGTTGTTTTAAATTTTGTGTTTTTCCTAACGACATTTTTGAAACGTGTTTTGCAAGCACATTCAACACCACACACACACATATATATATATATACCGATAATTATGATATATATATATACAATTCTATATATATACCACACATATAAATGTAGTTTTTAAAACCAATGCACGTTGAAGAAACAATAAAGATTCGGATCGTACAAAAATTCAACACAAACTTTTTTTTTATAATATGTATAAAATTTAATGGAAAAATTGTGATGATCAACCCCAGAAGCAATAACAGTTATATATGGGGTATACAAATTCTTAACATTTTGTATGCCTATTTATATCATTGGGCTATATCGTTTTCACTTCATATATTACATATTTTAAGACGAGTATAAAAAAATCAATGACATTTTTTAAAACAATATCAAAATAGAATATAATTGCTACAAATAATACATCAGCATCAAAAAATAATATTTCTATATGTATATAAACCGTTTTAAAAAAGCCCACCTCAAATTAATTGCAAATATCAATGGAATGCTCCGTTTGCTTAAAGCTTGGAGCGCAGCTCCTGGATGCGACCTTGCGCTGAGCGTTGCAGGTCCAACAGTTTCATGGCGAAGCCCATGTTGCCCTGAATCTTGATCTTGCCCTGGAAGAAGGCCTTCTGGGGCGGCAGTTTGCCCAACAGCAGCTCATACACATCATCGTCGCTGATTATAAAGGTAACATCGCATTTTTCTGCAATTATAATTAATCAAATCAAATAGCTATTCCGATTTATTTTTATGTATTGACTTACGCGTTCCGTTGAAAATGACCTTGCCCTTGCCTTGCTTAGCATCAATTACCCAGAAACCGGTCTGACCTTGGGGTCCATTGTTCACCCTGAAGCCATACACAGCACGCACCTTTTCAATTAGATTGTCTTGGTCCTCTTGCATGGCCTGCTCGAGCAGCTTAAGCAGCGGCGACACTTTGAAGCCCTCCTCGCTGGTCGCATTCTTTGCGGCAGCGGTCTTGTTCTGCTTCGCGCCAGCGGCACCTGGGAAGCCCAGACGATAGAGAGTTACCACAACGGCACCACCCAGACCCAGATTATGTTGCAGGGCCAACTTGACATTAGGCACCTGCCGCTTCTCAGCCAACCCACGCAGTTGCCAGCACAGCTCGGCGCACTGAGCCAAGCCTGTGGCGCCCAAGGGATGTCCCTTAGAGATGAGGCCTCCACTGGGATTGATCACAAATTTGCCGCCATACGTGTTGTCTCCATTATCGATAAACTCGCCAGCCTTGCCCTCACCACATAGACCCAAGGCCTCGTAGGTGATCAGCTCGTTGGCCGAGAAGCAATCATGCAGCTCCACGACCTGCACATCCTGTGGCTTGAAACCGCTCTTGGCGAACAGGCGCTGAGCGGCAAGTCGAGTCATGTCGTAGCCGGCAATCTTCATGAGGCTCTTGTCAGCAAAGGTCGACTCGGGATCGCTGGCCATCTCCATGCCCACAATCTCGACGGCCTGCTTTTCCAAACCATGACGACGCAC